GCCTCAGGATGCACTCACGGGTAGTCAGAGTGTCGGAGAGCCCGGAGAGTCCGCCGGAGAGCATACCAAAATCGCAGGGTTGCACTCCACCGTGCAGTGCAGCTGAGTTACACAGACCACATCACGGAACTACGCGAGCTGGAGCGATTGCTGCTTTCAGTCACTGCACGCGAGGCGTTCAGAGCGCATTGTATCCCTGTGGAGAATCAGGTGCTGGAGAGAGAGAGATAGAGAGAGAGATAATAGAGAGATCGAGATGAGATGAGGGAGAGAATCAATCTTACTCCTGTCACTGTCACAGGAACATTGTCGCCGATTCAAATCCTGGTGCATATCCCTGAAGTCGTTGCGTTGGGAGCAGCTCGTGGACTTCTGCGACGCAGCACCATGCCTGTAATGCTTGCGTAAGTTGCTTCGATTGGATATGTGTGACATGTCGGGGATTCTACGTGCAATAGGCAACAGGGGTAACATGGGACACCTCCCACTAGTGGTGGTTGGGGAATTAGGGGCGGGCCGGGTCATTGTTTCAAGGCCTTGGAAGTCGAGGAGCTGCTCCGCCACTATTGGAACAAGGGGAAATTCGTGGCGGGTAGTCGGGCACAGGCAGGATCCGAGGAAGTGCCAGGACCACGTGTCGATCGATTGGACAAGGTGCTTTGGATGCAGTCGTTCAGGGGCGCAAGTCAAGCAAGGCAGCAAGGCTCTTCCTTGAGTGACCAATAAGTTATCTCATATCTCTGATTGTTTGAGTGAGAGACACTGTGATTGCTACGTCAGAGCATCAAGGCAAGATGTCGGAGTGATACTTTGGGTCCCGGAATCCCAGGTGTTGACTATAACATTGTGGCATCTCGTGTCCTGAGTCGTCAGGTCATCCAAAGCACGGATTTTTGGTTGAAGACCAGAATCACGGCTGATCTTGGCCGCCTGGCCGAACACGTCGGGCGGTGGGCAGACGGCTGCCCGTGCCCACACCATCAACTGCACTCGCGCATCTGGTACGAGTCCTCCCGCGAAGAACGTCGACGAATTCCTTATCCGAGCTGCCGACTGAAAGGTTGCAGAGCTCCAGAGCTAGCTGCAGGAGACGGGCTGAAGAGTTTGGAAGCTGCTGCTGCAGCAACATTGCCAAAGTTGCATACTTATATCCACATGGCGTCCAGCCCCTCTGTGGCGGCAAGGTTGACAGACGACTGGCATAAATCGATCGCCACCATCCGGACGGTGATGACCTCAAAGTTGTACCATTGGTCGGAGCTACCCTACACTTTGTGTGCCTTGGGACACATGGATGCTGCGGTTGTTACTCGGACGCCGCTCTGACTTGTGTGCTGGGTGTTGAACTCCAAACCCTAAACATGCAAAGTGAGGAGCTTTGCCTGCTGTGTGCAAGAGTGAGAGACGAAACATGCACAGTTCAAGCCCGAAACTCCGAAACCTTTAAACATCCAAACCCAAACCCCCGAACAGCAACCCCGCAACCTACCGAGCCCAAACACCATAATCCCAACTCGCAGGCTCTGAGGCTCTGATCCCACAATACCCACAGCCCCAAACCAAAACGCAGCCCTAACCCCCAAAGCACAAAGCCCGAAGCCCAAACCGCAAGCCCGAAACTGCTCGTAAGACTCGTAAGTGTGTGTTATGTCTCATGTCGAAGATGGAACAGAGGCTAGAGCGGCAGCTCGAAGGGCAATCTCGCTCTTCGACAACGACAGGAACCGCACGAGACCGGGTCTGCGACATGCGCAGACTCAACGTTTTCTGTCACACGAATGGAAGGGGCTCTTTCCTGAGCGCGAGACAGAGCAGGAAGAGCCGTTGAGACCAATTGTGTCCTGGTCGCCACTGGCACGGTCTGTAAGCTCCACTCCCTTGGTTTATGATTCATATGTAGCTATGCATTCAGCACTCGTTGTCTGGTGACTCAGGTGACGACTCATAACTCAGGTGAATGTCAGTGTCAGGCTGTGTCAGGTGACTCTCTCTTAAGATGAGTGAGACTCTCTTATCTGATTTTTTTTGATGTGTGAAAATCTGAGATGGAGTCGCTGGCCAGTGGCAGTGTCAATATTGACCAGATAGTCTCGCCAAACTTCTGGCGGTGGGTGAGCAGCTTTGCCTTGCTCCGCATCGAAGAGCGCCCCATCGAGGGAAGCCATGCGCGAGTGAGTGGTTTGATTCGGGCCGCGCCAAACTGTGGCATCCCTTTCATATCGTTTGGACTTCGGTTCCCACTACTTGTGGATGAAGTCCGTCGGAATCCGGAGGCACATGCACATGTCCCACATCGTCCAGTGTTCCAGTGTTCTGTCGTCTGCACATTAGTCACACGACACAGTCTGTATATCCATACAATTCGGTCAAACGTCATCAGTCTGTCAACCAGTGTCTTGCGATGGAGAGACTAGATTCTAGTATTTCTTTCTTCTGCACATCATCCGCTTCGCTGCACTTCCCGTCCCCTGACTCCCAGTGCCTGACGACTTTGGGCGAGTTCGTTGAGCCGCTGGAGAGGGAAGCTGGCTTCAGGAATGCCATCATGCACGGTCCTCAGGGTCCAGACCGGTTCGGTATATGCGCAAGATTTCGTTGCATGTGGTCATGTGGGTAGGTAGTTTGATCATGAACTGGGATCTGAGCGTAAGAGGGTGCACTCAAAACTCTTCTGTAAAACCATGGACCATATCTGGAGTCTGTAGTTGCATTGATCAAGTGATTCGTTTGAGTCATTTAAAGACCGAAGCTCTTGCGGCAGGCGACAGGTTTTGCTGCACGTCTTCTTTGTAGTCAAACTAGTGCAACAATGGATGTGGTTCGAGCAAGGCATGTGCTGGATATGGAGGAGCGAGATGGCAGCAATGAGGTCAAGAGCCGTGCGATAGAGGATGCTGTCAAATTGCTTTATCGAGACGACATTCGATTGAAACACAGCAACAAGGGACGGCTGCGCGAAGAGATGGCCACATCGCAGGCTGCTCAGGCTCAGGCGCACGTGCAAGAACCAGTGGACGAGGTGCAAGACTACCTTTGCAAGATGATGGTGAAGCACCTCATGCAGGACCGCTGACAAAACATGTTTTTTGCCTGTTGCTTATTGCTTATGTAGTGATCAACATCAGCGAATCCCCAATCAGGAATCAACTACTCATCAGTCTCATCAGTCAGTCATCAGTCAGACTCAGCAGACTCAGCAATGCAATCAGCAACCAGTTGCAGGTGTCCCTCCGTGGGGATCCGATTACACTGGCGATGCCAGCAGCTTCGTTGCAACGGTTGTCGCGGCCATTCAAGAACCTTGTGGATGCAACCCCTGCCACCGGAGCCTTGGCACCTATGACTGTGACGTTGCTGCCGGCCCGGCGTGGAGGTGTTCTGTGAATCTAACAATCCGGCCATGAGGCCAATCAATACGCGAGACACATGATTACATGATACAGCGATGCAGTACTCACAGGGTGTGGTCGTGTAGCAGTGCAGCAAGGCCGCCGCGTGCATGTGTGTCATTGTATCAATTGTGCCCCAAGCAGTCAACCAAGACAAGGACCTGTGTCCGCGGCCGCGGTCTCGACCTCCTCAAGCTCACACATCCATGCGGCTGATGACGACCTGTCATTCAACATCACTGGCCCTGCAGAAAGCGGCGACGTGCAAAGCGACGCCATGAAGATTGCCGGCGAATTTGCATGGTTCAAGGTCTTGTCCAACAACATGGTACACCACACTGTGATGGGAGATTCCTTTTCTGCTGCTTTGGGAACCATCGACTGCGTTGTGCAGCAACATCATGTGCACGACGCAAGAGGCGACAACACTGGTACCTTCCCCTGCAGACTTTAGTCCATGTGTCTGTGTCTGTGTGTGTATATATATCTATGGCCATGCTAGTGAGGCTGACGGGCTCATGAGCTGCGAAATTTCTGGATCAACAGTGTTCGTTGTTTGTATCAGTCTGTTTTCATTTTATAGAACTGACTGGACCTGCTGACACCCCTAATGCAATCACCCCGGATGTCACCCAACGCCTGCTGCCAGGCCGAAGCTTGTGCGAGGTGACGCTCAGCAAAACTGGCCCTGCTACGGCATCCGGGCGTGACATTTTGGGGGTGTCCTGGCGCCTTCTCCGCAATAGAAACAACACAGCCTATAGTCGTGTGTTTGTCGTGAGAACACCACACGAGTCACATGACACAATATTTGTAAACAAGCGCTCGGTGTTGTCAGTCTGCGGCTCTCCGCAGTCAGCGAGTCGTCCTCTGGCGTCTGAGGCATGAGTCATGATGCTGTGATTTATTCAGTGTATTTAGTATTCAGTATTCAGGGTTCACTGACTGGATCGCCCAGGTTGAAAAGGTCCGGGTCCAATGCGAGCAACGTATTACAGGACAAGGACGTGCTTGACATGATCATGAGCATTCAAGTCTGGTCTGCGAGCGAGAACATCCATCACACTCTGTTGGACGCTGGCATGCAGCTACTTCGGCGGGATTGTGACCTCGCAATACAAGCGTGCCTGGAATGATTGATCTGAATATACAAACAAACAAGTCAAACAAGTTCAAACACGGTTTCGGGTTTCGCTTCAGGTTTGGGCCGAGCCAGGCCAGGTCAGCGAGGTTGATTGTTCCCTTGAAGAACTCACGTCAGCAATCTATCACGGCGGAGGAGTGAGATTCAGTGAGATCATGGGTTAGTTGGCATTAGTTGGTTGAGAAGAACAGAATTCAGAATCAAAGGCTTTAGTAGGATCACTAAAGGCCAACCGGCTTACGACTCAATGCGATCAAGCAAGGCTGCACAGCGATGCGCCTACTTTGATGCTCGATGCAGGAAACTTGGCAGACACACTCTCGAATCTTGCAGCCGCGGGCTGCTTTGATAAACGTCGTGCGATGTTTTTACTATCTTGCCATGAGACCGACGTTTTGCAAGCGTCGGGGTGGATTGTTTCCCATGAAAATGACTTTTTCACGCTCTCCGAAAAAGCGCTGTCACACATGTCCTTCGCGTCAGCACTGACATCCCATGTGCCATTGGCCAAGTACTCTGGAACTTCAGATCCAAGCAAGATGAGCTTGGTGGAGCTGATCCGATGCCTTGCTAGCAACTGTTGGGGAGACGAGGAGTGTTCTATAGAGAAAGCCAAGCAGAAGAGCCCTGTCATCGTCGCCGGAAACATCGGCCCGCGTATTTGGTACCATGCCAAGAACAAGCCCCCCAGCCGGCACTATCTGCATGTGCTCACCCTGGTTACATCTGGATCCATGACGACTCCTGTGACGTCCATCTACCATGGGCAGCTGGACGGGCGACCCGGTGGCATCGATGGGATATTGTCATTGGTGTTGTTCTTGTTGTTGTTGTTGTTGTTGTTGTTGTTGTTGTTGTTGTTGTCGTTGTTGCTGCTGCTCATTGCTCGCTTGAAATGACAGGTACTACCGTGCACTTTTGCAAGGACGGCCAGTCCCTCCGAACCTCAGCAAGAAGCAGTATGGTCGTGTTCGCACACAGCAGCCAGCAGAAGCAGACGCTTCCGTCGGTAGCGCAAGTCGATTTCAATCTGAGCCGAGTGCCTGGTCTGCATGTTTGGTCGTTCTAAGTTCAGTTCTACATCCAGTTTGCTTCACAGACACTTGGGGCACCAAGCCAGCATCGTGTTGACATAGAGTTGACAAGGCATGTGGCAACCCTCGCAGCCTGGGCCTATCCGCAGGCACGAGGAACCTCGCAGAGCCGTCACGACACGCGCTCGCGAGGATGCCAACATAGATAGTGACAGCAGCGAAGACGTGGATGCATCAGATCTTTCAAGTGCAGGGTCAGAGGGGCATTCCGAGCAAGTGACTGCCGCTGCTGCTCTGCCTGAGATGAATCAAGCGACTTGCTTTGTGTTTGGCGTGTGATACTGATCTAACCTTGTTTTGACAGGCGGCCCAGCACGGCACAGATAGGAGTCAGAGGAACTTCTTGTATTTCAAAAATTCTAAGTGCGCTGTGCAGTGTGAAGTGTGAAATGCAAAGTTTCTATTGTGCTGATTCGTCTGACAAAGGCAGACGCGGCAGAGTATGTTCCAGTGCCGGGGTCAGACCATATCGCAGGGCCAGGGCCAGAGCCTACGCCCAAGCGATCCAGAAGAGATGAGCCTCGTGGGGCGCCCACGTCCGCGCCGAATGCTCCAGCTCTGGCCGCCAGAGGGGCATCCGCTTCTATTTTCGCAGAGTGGCTTGATGTCACAAGCAATATGTATACACTGTACATTGTAACCTGTTGTCAGCTTCTCTGGTCGAAGTCGAAGTCGTAGTCGTCTAACATATATGTATGTATGTATGTCTGTATGCTAGTATGTTGAGCCATGGTCCAGGGTCCGGTCCAGAGTCCAGAGCTTTCTTTTTTGAGCACCCGTAGCAACAGGAGCACTGTTTTCCTCGGCGGAGATCGCTGCACTTTTGCAATTATCCATCGGAAGGATCTGAAGCAGTGGTTCGTACAATGCCCTCTTCATAGCTACAAGGAGGGCGGGCGTTTGCGCAAGTGTGCACGAGCTTTGGCAGCCAATGACATGGATGACGCTGTTCTCCTGCGGCTTCGTTTTTGGTGTCTGTCAGGCCAGGGCCAACACAACAGTGCATGTTTGCACATGAAGGGCTTGTGCATGCGATTTCGGTTGGCCGATGTACGGATAATGCTTGTTATGTGATGTTGGAAAGCAGCGACAGCAATGACAGCAGTATGTCTTTATGGTGGCGCTTCTGGATCACGCGGACACCCACCCTCACCCGACTTTGTTAACTGGCATGTCCTGAGTCCTGTGACGAGCACTGACATCATCATCATGTACTGTGGTCAGGTTTCGACATCCCTACGCCTACATCATCCTCATCGTCCCAGACTGCATGCGAAGATGCTCGCAGAAGACATGTGTTCATGGAGTCTTAGCATGCAGTGAGCAAGCCATGTTGAGAGTTGAGGACTTGAGGGCCGGGGGCTGCTATTATCCACCCTGCACTGAGCTGCCGGGTGTACAGGCTCCAGGTTGTAATCCCCAAACCTCAACATCCGGCCGGGTGTCAGGATTGTCGCCATCTACCAAGATCATCTGCCCCATTACATCACTTATCCCAAGTAACAGTAACAGTCACAGTGCAGTGTAGAGTTTAGAGTCTAGTATGAATTCATCCTCCGTCGTGACCAATGCTGTACTATAACTGCCCAAACCAAGTCTTAGTAAAGACCAAAACCCAAGTCCCTGACCCTGCCTCCCGAAACGACCCAGGAACTCCCAGCGGCTTCTGAAATCACTAGCACTGCAGAAGAGTTGGACGAAGCCATTGCAAATGCAGCAGCCAACATGTGTGCACCGAGTCCCGGTGTGCCGGTGTGAGTAGATTATCCGAAAAGACAGAGAGCAAAGCATGTGCGTCGACATCATGTCCTCGTTTCGCATTGCACTAAAGTTTTGTGAGAGTTGTTTCAGAGCCAGTCGTGCCAGTGCATCCACATAGATCTGGGGAAGGCTCGAGTCGGCCCGAGTCAGAAGTCAGAAGAACTATTTTTATCCCATGGCTGCCCCGGGTGTCACGTGGGAGTACACTGCGGTGCAGGATCCAGACGAGATAGATGCTACTATGTGGCCTAATCTTTGCTGGCACCGCTGCACGCAAAACCAGTGCCATCTGTTTACGCTCGTGCTTCGGCGGTATCAGGAAGAAGAGGGACCGTATGCCACATGCTGGCGAGGCCGTGGCTACTCAACGTCCAAGTATCGCATGGTGGGCCTGGAACTGTTCCTCGACTATACCTGAAGCTAAGGGTGGCATCGTGGCCAATGGCCCTAGTGGCTTCTCAAGTATCCTCATCACAAAAAAAACTCGAGCCATGTGAAACTGAAGCGATGAGCTTAGAATACAGTAGGAGAGCATCCCCAGGCCTATGCCCCAGGGTCCACGGTTTGTATTTTTTCAAGTGTGGTTGGCAGTGGCAGTGGTTGGGGTCAATGTGCAGGCCGCATGAGCAGAATAGAGTCGGGTAGGAGAGGAGGCCCGAGGATGGAGGTCTTTCTGTGTGTATGTGTATGCGTGTGCGTGTCGTTTTGAGTGTTTGGCCAGCTGGGGTCGGTGTACATGTCAAGGACCCCGTGGCCCCGGGGTTTGATTCCGGGTTTTCAAATTTTACGGTTTACGTCTAGGTCGGGTTTAGGAAACAGGGGGAGGGTGAGAGGGATTGAGGATAAAGTTTTCGTGTTGGTGTGGTATTGGGCAGCCAGACCTTGGTGACCTGCTTGCATTGCCTACAACTTAGGCAAGAAGCCGAGCTTCTGGTTTACCGCAACGTACGACTTCCTGAGTATATGCTGGTCAAAGTGCGACGAGACATCGCATTGGACCTAGATTTTGATCCGCGGCCCGGGTGGCCGGACAGATGTATTATCAACGCTAGGTTTTTGGCCAGAAGCCCTGCAGAAACCGGGTGCAGTCAGGTCGTGAACGAAAGCTTCAACATGTTCTTGACAGAAACCACGAGAGATCTCTTGGATACTTTGCTCCTTCTGGCCAGACAACACTTCACACCTTCTGAAGTCATGCATGCATATGATCAATGGGTCTTCGGTCGGCACCGTCTTGCTGCCAAGCCTCATGCAACCATGGAAGCATTGCGTCGAGGCGGATAAGAGATGTTGATACTTGCAAGACTGGCAAATGTGATGAGCGATATTTGTGGCCGTGCATCGTACGATATGATGTTCACGGCATCACATGCAACATGCAACTACACGCGCAGTAGGCTGCGAAGGAAAAATCATCGGGATCATCAGTCTGTCGATGCCCAGCCCAGTAAGCCCCTGAACCCGGATCACCCAAACCCACAGAACCTGCAAGACTCGCAGAAACACCCAACCAGTCAGTCAAGCTCTAAATCACAAAACGACCCAGACCACAGCCACAAACCCCAAACCCCAGGAAGCTTCAATTGTCAGGCCCCTGAAGCTAAGAAACTTGCCCCGGCCCGTGTCACCCCTTGTTGGGATCCAAGTTTAGTTATGTGGCTTCTTTGGGTTTGGGGATTTGGGGTTTATTAATTCAGTGACTCATGGCTCAGTCGGGTTCGGGATATCCTTGGAGCTTTGCAGGTTCTTGTGTTTTGGGTTTAATGGCATCGTGGGCATTTCTTTGGAGTGTCAGTGTTGAGGTTTCTTGTCGCTTGCAGGTTGGAGGGTTTAATGACATAACTAGTTTCGGTGATTTCGGTGTTATTTTTTTAAAGTTTTGCGTTTCGTTGGGATGGGGAGGGGGGTTCCTGGCTTATGGTGTCGCTTGTGAGCTTTGTGGTTTGTTGGGGTTTAGGGGTTGAGGGGTGTAGGGGTCTGGGCACTTAAGGTGGAATGACTACTTTTTTGGCGTTGGGCAACATATGTCATGTACATATATCATAGAAATGTCGATAAGTCAGAAATCTAACATTGTATTCTGTGAGCAGCAGGGTTTATTGGTGGTGAGACGCCAGTCACGCCAGTGGCAACAACCCTGAGCCTGAGACCGCCAGACCATTAACTCCCCGAAACCTGGTATATAATTGCATTTCCCCGATTTGCGCAACGGCCGGACTTTGTGAGGGAAAGATTGAAACAGGCCTACACCCTCCATATGCTGATGGCTGATGCTCTAGTTTGTGGTTTATGATGTTAGGCTTCGGCTTCGGGATCTCAGCGCTTGCATCTAAAAACTGTGAGCCTTAATCGCCTTAATCAGTGCTTTAACATAGGATAAACCTCAGGGCCTTGACGTTGGGGTTCCATTTTGACAAAACTGTGCCAGGAGACAGGCTATGTGGACTCCTTGGTCGTTGCCGTTGCACAAGGCTTTGCACAAATGCTTGCTGGGCTGGTGTTGTAAGTTGTAGTTTCGAAGACCGCAATACTGCGAGGGGTTCGATTCTCGCAGCTTCGTGTGGTTGGGACAACAACAGTGACAGTGATCTGGCCATTAGCTAACGGGGCTGTGTTTGGCAAAAATACTGTATCTGATTCCAGTTGTAGAATCGAAGGAGTCCAAGGCAATGCTCTGAATTGTCGGATCTAAACGTGCCAGTTCTTTGTTCTCAATCAGCGTATGTCTTGCCGGCGCTTCATGTTTTTACATACTTGCAGATGTACAGACATGTCTATGTTATCGAATGGTCCGGAAATTTCCCCAACACGGAAAACAGTTGCTCAGGAAACCACTTTCCTGAACACACATACTTTTTTTGATGAAATCTTCATCTCAACATGACTCAACAAGCTTTATTACTGACCGACCTCAATAATTAAGCTCGGTTCAATTGGGGATGGCAGCTGGGTCTATTCCCGAGGCCCGGGGCTTAATTACCGAACCCCCTCGGTAATTAAGCTTTTTGCAGTGAAAGTTTTGGGAAAAAGTCTTCCTGAGCAGCTCGTTTTGGTCTGCTCAGGAAGACTTTTTCCCAAAACTTTCACTGCAAAAAGCTTAATTACCGAGGGGGTTCGGTAATTAAGCCCCGGGCCTCGGGAATAGACCCGGTCTCAACCCAATCCCAAACCGACCGAACAAAAGCTTAACTACCGAGGGGGTTCGGTAATTAAGCCCGGCGCTGCCGACACCCCGACAATCAAATGCCAAACAAACCAACCAAAAGCTTAATTACCGAGGGGGTTCGGTAATTAAGCCCGGCGCTGCCGACACCCCGACAATCAAATCCCAAACAAGCCAACCAAAAGCTTAATTACCGAGGGGGTTCGGTAATTAAGCACCGGGCTGCCGCCACCCCGACAATCGAATCCCAAACAAACCAACCAACAGCTTAATTACCGAGGGGGTTCGGTAATTAAGCCCGGCGCTGCCGACACACCGACAATCAAATCCCACACAAACCAACCAAAAGCTTAAT